GTTGTGGAGTAGTAAAAAAACCTCTTTTTTCATCAGGAATGGTTTGCACTTTGTGCTGAGAGCTCGTGGAAGTCCTAAGAGGCATCTAGCCCAGCTTCTTTCTCTAGGTTCCTTTCTATCACAGAACTGCGTGTGTACACGTTTGTCTAGTGGTAGATTAAGGTCTCTTGGCACAACTAGAGAAGCTATGTTGCTCTAAAAGGGACACCTTTCAAGCTAAGCAGACTTCTCAAAAGGAAGGGAAACTGGCTGCTCAGAAACTTGCTTGACAGAAAACAGAGGGAACAATTACATCTTTTTTTTAAAAAATGGGGCAAAAGGAATCTTCAACAGGGAAGCCAACTTCTGTGCTTTATGTTTAAAGTGTAATTTCAAGGACTGGACTACTTGTCGACCTCCAGACAGTTTGATTCAAAATTCCTAATCATTTCCTCTAAAATAAACAGCCATGAGGGAGGGAGGAAGCGCATCTCCCGAGGACCACCTCTCTCTTGTTAAGCGTGGGGAGATCTTCAGGGGGTCTCCCACCATGGGACCTAGTTCTCAGGGCTGGATGGGACACCAGCTCATGATCAAGATCTACTGCCAAGTCCGCAAATGAAAATGATCTATGGGGGCAGGTGTTTCTTTTCTTTTCTTTTTTAAAATAAAAGATCTAAAAATCACCTGACAGGAAAGCCCTGACCTGTTTTAATATTATATGATCTGAATTTGGCCTCTGATCATCAACTTGGTAACTAGAGTCTGAGGTTTAGTTTTGTTTTTAAATGCATATGGTAGGCTCAGAGGCCAAATAATCATGGTTAACAAACACCAGGTGCTACACATTTTTAAGTTCTGTAATTATCCTCATGATTGTTGTAATAATGAGTCTTCTCTTCCCGTTTTACAAATGTGGAAGTTAAGCAACAGAGGTTAGGGATCTTGCTCCAAGTTCCATTAATTAGTGAATACTCCCTGCTTTTAACCTTAGGATCTGAAGTTACATAAGGTTACTGTTTGTTAATTGTCTTCTACTCCTTTTCCTCAGTAAATGTTTAAGATTAGTGCTACTGGATAACTCCCATGTGGAGAGTTGTCTTCATCTTATACCACAGTAGCTCAAAAGAAACATCTCTCTCAATGCCGAATATTCTTCTAACATTGTAGGACATGCTGTAGTTTTCAAATATGAAGATATCACATGGTCTTGAAACTATGAAACCGATACTTAGCAGGTTTCTCTAATTGCTTCCAGAAACTAAGGCAATACTTGTACATTATACTCTAAAAAGAATTTGCATAGCTTTTGAGTAGGGGATTCAGACACAAAGTTTAAATACATTATAGTCTGGAAGGAAAAGTACAGCTGGTGCAGTCTTGGG